CATTTGGTCAGAAGAAAGTTTTTCAGTAAAAATTACAGTGAGGTTTTCTCATAAAAGTTGCTCTTGATACAAAACTGATTTATTTTTTTTTTAACAAAACTAAATTTTAACAAAGGTTTTCACATGTGTATGGTAATTCATTAGTGTTAATCTCATGGTGTATTTAGCGTATTCATGATTCTGGATCTACAGGTCTTCCAAAATGTAAAACAAAGATTGTTTATTGTGATAAGACTTTCCATCAGATTCAGACCTCTGCCTTTAACAAAAACTTGTAATCTATATCCCATTAAAGGGCAACAAATTAGATTAAAGCTTCTTATGTATTAGATAGAGATAATTGGTTAAAAAGGTCATGTTATGTCCAAATGAAAATTTAAGTATATTACAAAACGTCATCATGATTGTCATGTTGCAATGTTATGTATGGTGTCGTTCCCCCCCACCCCCACTAGGAATCAAACTCATGACCTTGTGCTTGCCAGGCAGGCGCTGTGCCCCTGAGCTAAATCCCCAGCCCTGGTTTTTTTTTGTTTGTTTGTTTGGTATGTATGGTTTTGATTTCTAAATTTCTGTGTAAAAATATGTAACTGTTGTCTGATTATGTTTTTTTTTTTTGTCTTTTTTTTTTTTTTTTTTTTGTCTTTTTGAGACAGGGTCTTGCTATGCAGTTCAGGCTGACCTTAAGCTCATTTTGTAGCCCAGGCTAGTCTTGAACTCACAAGGGTCCTCCTGCCTCAGCCCCCATGAACTAACTTTGCAAGTGTATAAAATAAAGGCCCTTACTGTTGAAGTCAGTCCTCATGCTCATCAAGCAAAAGGCAACTCCACCTGACCCCAGCTATTGTCTCTTGTCTTTATTTTTCTCATACCCACCGCTGTTTCTCTCTGGGGTACAACGAGAGACCGATGAGGTTTGCTACATGCCACTACTTTTTTTTTTTTTTCTGGTACCAGGAATTGAACTCACGACCTCGCACTTGCCAGGCAGGTGCTGTGCCGCTGAGCTAAGCCCCCAGCCCCTGCCACTACTTGTTAATTTGTTCTGGGGAGCAAGATGAGTACAGAGGATGATTAGGACTGGGCCCAGGATATAGCTCAGCAGCACAGTGCCTGCCTGGCAAGTGCAAGGTCCTGAGTTTAATTCCTGGTACTAGGAAAAAAAAAAAAAGTCTAGGACCAAATAGTTTGGCTGGAAAGGGCTGTGAATCAGGAGGGAATTGACAGAGATAAGTTCTAGCTTGTACATCGAGAACCAAATAAATGATGAGAATCAGGACAAAATTTGTGCATCACAATCTGTCCAGTACCAGCCAAGTGCGGTGGTGCTCACCTGTAATCCCACCACTGGGGAGGCTGAGGAAGGAGGATCACTGCAAGCTCAAGGTGAGTTCAAGGCCAGCCTTAGATACATAAGTGAGACCTTTCTCAAAAAACAAACAAGTTTGTCCAGAAAGCTTGGCATGGTGGTGCTGGCCTGTAATCCCAGCACTCAGGAGGCTGAGGCAAGGAGGATCGTCGGGAGTTCGAGACCAGTGTGGGCTACAAAGTGAGCTCAAGGCCAGCCTGAACTGCATACTGAGACCCTGTCTCAAAAAATAAAAAAATAAATAAAAAAATAAAGAGCTGGCGGTGTAGCGCGGTGTGAGAAGGCTTGTGCCCTGCCTGTATGAGGCCCAGGTTAAACCCGCAGTGCAGTGCTGCCAAAAAGATTCGGGCCCTTGCCATTTAGCCTCGTGCCCTCCCGCCCCTGGCGCACGCCCCAGGGGTCTACCCAGGCCGCCCTCACCGCCTTACTTCTGTGGAAACCTTACTGCACCGCCTCTGTGCCACTGGACAATTCGTCATCGGCGCTCAGCCTTTTTTTTTTTTTTTTGTCTTTTTGAGACAGGGTCTTGCCATGCACTTCAGGCTGGCTTTGAGCTGACTTTGTAGCCCAGGCTGGCCTCGAACTCGCACCGATCCTTCTGTCTCAGCCTCCCGAGTGCTGAGATTACAGGCGTGCACCACCACACCCGACCATTGGTGCTCATCACACATACACTTGTCCTAGAGCTGACATAGCTTGAGCTCAAGACATTTCTGTTAAATGAATGTCAGAAGACAGTCATTGTCCACTTTTTTTCTTTTGCAGTGCTGGGTATTAAACCTAGTAACATCAGGCAGACCGGGGAAGTCCCCTATTCCCTGCTCCGTCTTTTTTCTTTTTCTTTCTTTCCTTTTTTTTTTTTTTTTTGAGACAGGGTCTCGCCATGTAGCCCACGCTGGTTTCGATCGCGGCGATCCTTCTGCTTCAGCCTCCCAAGATCTGGGATTACAGGCGTGCACCACCACGCCCGGTTTTTATTTCGTTTTGAATTCAAAAATATTTTTTACTTGAAGGGTTCTAAATCTATATTCTTGTAAACCTGGCTTCTGCTTTGCCCCCTGCTGGTGGCCCAGCGCCTAGCTGGAAAACCAATAAGTATTTTAATGATGTCCGGGAACTGTAGGCTGGCAACTCAGCGTCATTTACATACCCAGAATGCATTGCATAAGGGATAGTTTTTAAATTAAAAATGGGCAGCCTCTTTCTTTCTCTTTTCGCCTTTTATTCCCTTAAAGATGAATCACTTTTACAGAATTGTCTTATGAGAAAGTTAGTAAAAGCATCAAGTCGTTCGGGTAAATAGTTACCATCGGTGTTGCAGTAGTTACAGTTAGCCGAGGATTGTATCTACAAGCAACGTGACATACTCTGGTTTCTCTTCAGATCGTATAAATCTTTCGCCTTTTACTAAAGATTTCCGTGGAGAGGAACAATTCTGAGTCTTAACCCAATTTTTTGAGGCCTTGCCTTAGCAAGGCTACCAATCTAGTGAAATGTAAGACTAACGATTTACTTTCTTTGAGAGATAGTTGAGTTTTAAAATGTCAACTACTGTTTGCTAAGTGGGTGACTGTAAAGATTCGAAGTAGTTGATAAATAGCATCTGAGAGTTTGTGAGTTTGGTTATTTGTCTTGTTTTTATGCAGTTTAGGTATTTGAGTTAAGAGCACGAAGGGTGAACCATTGTCTATCATTATGAGTTTTACTGAGGCTGTGATTTATAAATCCAGAAGTAAAACAATCCGTCAGAAAACTAGGTTTGGTACTAGAAATTTGTAGTTTCAGCACTTGAAAAGTTGAGGCAGCAGGTTTGCCACAATTTAGAGGCTAGCTTGAGCTACACAGTGAGATAGTGGGTGAAAACATCGGAAGATGAATAAAAAAGGAATTGTCAGGAACCTATCAAGAGAGGTGAGTGTCTGAAGACATACAAGTAGAAAGAAATTTAGAGAGGGCTAGGGGGACCAGATTACCTGGGGCTGTGCAGTTCACAGCAAGGGTTTGGCTTTATTCTCTCCCCACCGGGGAAGGTGTGGCGGGGATTTGAGCAGAATGATGTCAGAGGACATTGTGGCTGCTGTACTGAGGGCAATGAGCTGGAAAGCAAAGCAGCAGAGGAGAGCAAATGGTGGCTCAGCCCAGGGCATTACCAATGATACTAGCACTTGGGAGGCTGAGACAGTAGGATCCTAGATTTCAGGTTAGCCTGGGACACACAGACCTTCCTGAAAACAGAGTTGGATGGGTGAATATAACGATGAAGAAGCAAAGGAATTCAGTGTAGCTACACTGGAAGGATTTATTTTTCTTTTTATTTTTTGAGACAGGGTCTCACTATGCAGTTCAGGCTGGCCTTGAGCTCACTTTGTAGCCCAGGCTGGTCTCGAACTTGCAACGATCCTCCTGCGTCAGCCTCCAGATTGCTGGGATTACAGCAATAATCCGGTGTGCGCCACCATGCCCAGCTTACACTGGAAGGATAAGGGAAACCAGACATCAGTCCTCCTCCCTAGTTTCTTTTTTGTTTTTTTTTTTTCCCGGTACGGGGAATCGAACTTACGACCTTGCGCTTGCCAGGCAGGTGCTGTGCCGCTGAGCTAAATCCCCAGCCCCTAAAAAAATTTTCTTACCTCAGAAGAAAACACAAATCGATGCTTTTACTGAGTAACAGGAGTGTACTTGCCTATGTCACCTTGGTAGTTTCTGACACCTCAAGTCATACTAGCGGGATGTGGTTCAGGGTCAGGAGTCCACAATGTTAGAAGTGTTTTGGCTGGAAATATGGTGTTTAAACCTCTGAATGAATGATAGGCCAGGCATGGTGGCGTATGCCTGTAATCCCAGCACTCGGGAAGCTGAGGCAGGAGGATCATTGCAAGTTCAAGACCAGGCTGGGCTACAAAGTGAGCTCAAGGCCAGCCTGAACTGCATCGTGAGAAGTTGTCTCAAAAAGACAAAACAAGACAAAAAAGCCTCTGACTGAATGAGGTCACCAAGGTACAAAAGCAGATGGAGACAAGGTTTAAGGTCAGTGTCTGGCCTCATTCTAACTTGCAAGAGGTTGGATTGAGGAGGAAATGGCAAAAGTGAGTAAGAAGCACCAGAGAGGTGGGAGAAAACCCCAGGTGGCTATGGTGTCTTCCAGGAAAAAGTTTGGGGGCTTTTTGGGGATGGAGGTGAACCCTATATTCAGGTTATGCCTTTGAACTTTCCAGGGGCTGATGACCCTTCCCCTAGGACCATGTTTTTGTTTCTTTAATAGGTCTGCTGGGCAAGGTGGCACACACCTGTAATCCCAGCACTGGGAGGCCAATGCAGGAGGATTGTCGTGAGTTCGAGTCTGACCTGAGCTACATAGTGAGTTCAAGCCTAGCCCAAAGTGCAGAGCTACAGCCTGTCTCAAAAAAACAAAAAAAAAAAAAACAAAAAAAAACAAACCTCTGGCTATGTAGTCCAGGCTGGTTTGAACTCATGAAGATCCTCCTGCCCGTCTACCCAGTGCTGGGATTACAGGCATGAGCCACCACGCCTAGCTCAGGATCTGCTTTTTAATTTGGTGACCAGAGGGACCTCAACCTTAACCCACAGTTCTCTTTTGATCTCCCTTCCTCGTCCGCACAGTGCACGCACACAGAGAGCAGCAGGACTGTTTATTGGGCTCTTTCGGGCCAGCTGCGCTCCTTCTGCCCCACTGGGGCCGGATGGAGTAGTCACAAGGTCAACCCCAGGCTTTCCTGCCACGCAGCCTTTCCCTCGAGGAAGCTCAGTTACTCCTTTGATTCTGGGTCCTCCTCCTGGAAGTGGGTGATGTAGGCCATCTGATTGGGATCCACAGGGCCACAGGGAAAGTTCAAGTTGCCGTCGGTGAGGTCGGAGAGCTCTAATGCTGCGGCAGCGAGGCAAGGAGATGCGCTGGGGTGCTGGGCACGCCAGGCTGCAGGTCCCGGCCCTCCCTGCTCACCTTGGGCAATGTTGACCTCGTTGACCGCCAAGATGTCCGTCTGAATGCTGTCTATTTTCATATACAAGTCTTCACCATAGCGCTGAGGACACGGGTGAGAGAAACCAGCTGCGGTTCCAGGCCGTCGCAACCTCAGATCGGCCTTGGGCTGCTTGATCATTATTTCCCCTCCTTGGGCAGAGGGGTCCTGCGGGAGGTGGTCAGGAAGGGGGCGGGGGACAGGGGTGGAGAAGCCCAAGCCAGGGCAGCCCTCCCGCGTGGGTGGCCAGGCCCATGCCGTGTGTGGGGACAGCACTGTGTCCCAGGCCGGGCACGGGCACTTACGAGGAAGAGCTCGTATAGTTCCTCCCCCATGGACCTGCGCACGTGCTCCTCCACCACCGGGAACGTCTGCACGAAGAACTGCCGCCGCGGGGCGGGGCGGGGCCGGGCGGTGTGGCGGTGGCCTGACTGTGTGGTGCCCGCGCCCCTGCGCCCCTGCGTCTCGCCCCTGCGCCCCGCACACCTGCAGCGCGAGGCTCGCCAGCCTCTGGCTGTTGCTGTGGTCCGCGTTGCCCATGGCAGCCATCAGGTTGCGCACGACGTGCAGGCGCAACATCTCTTCGGCCACGCGCAGGCTGTGGAGCGCCAGGACCCTGCGGGGACAGGGGGCAGCGCCACCCGGCTCTCTCCGTGCCCGCCCCGCCCCGGCCCGCCCCGGCCCACATGTCCTGTCGCTCACCGGATGGCTTTGGCGGCCGCCGCCTGCTGCAGGAACGAGGCCGGGTGCGCGGTGAGTTGCAGGAGCGGGCACTCTGGGGAGGGAGTGGCCGTGAGCGAGGTGGGCGCCCCGCCCCGCCGGGCAGCCCCGGGGAGGGCCCTACCAGTGAGGATCTTGTGGTGCTGTTGGGAGGTCTTGATGGAGGGGATCAGCAGCGCCACTAGACCCTTGAGCAGCGGCAAGCGCACGTCGTAGTCCACCAGGTCCTTTATGAGCTCGATGGCTGTGGAAGGCAGAAACCCCAAGAAGCTGGAGGCCGCCTCTTCTCAGTGCCGTTGGCGGCGCTGCACTGTGCCGGGCCTGGCACAGCGGGGAAGGTGACACCCCATTCCTGCCCTGCTGGTTTGTGATCATCGAGGAGGTGGACAGCTGATGGTAATCCCATTGCTCTGGGGGCTGAGGCAGCGGGGCTGCAAGTTCCAGTCTAGCCTGGGCAGTTTTGTGACTTAGGTTGACCGTGTCTCCCAATAAATAATAAGGGCTGGGGGGTGTAGCCCTGAGGGAGGCTGTGGATTCAGTCAATCCCCAGTACCACAAAAACAGGGGGTGGTGAGACTGGAGGCTCCATGGTTCACAGAGCTGGCCCAAGGGGGAGGAGGAAGGGTTGGATGGGAGCCCACCCAGCAAGAATTCCCGGAGGAGTCAGAGCTGGACACCGAGGCCACACAGGCGTGGGCTGCTGTCAGCTTGGAGGACTCTAGGTTTCATGGAAGAGGGAAATATATCTATATATCTATATACATCTCCCCCGGATCTCTTTATGTTGCCCAGGCTGGGCTTGAACACAGGCAGTGGCCTTGCAGCCAGTTGGGCTGGGTCTTCAAAGGAGAACAGCATGGGAAAGAACAAGGGGTGGGGAGCAAAGGGGTTGGGTGTGTGGCGGCAAGTGCGAGGCTGGAGTCAGCAAGGTGGAGCCTTGTGCACGCCCTGGAGGAGCCCCCGCTGCCAGCAGGTGCTGGCCTTTCCCCACAGTAGCCCAACTGCACATCAGAACTTAACTCAGGACCGTCATCCCCATTTCTGCATTTAGGGGAGGAGGAGCAGAGAGATTAAGCCACTTGCCTAAGTCACAGCTAGGAAGGAGGGGAAGGTGCAGAAGGAGGGAAAGATGTGGTCAGGCAGGCGGGGCGGGAATTTACTGGGGGCCCTGTCCCCTGTCCCGGGGGGCTTTTCTGCAGAGCCAACTGTCCTTGTGCATGCATGGACAGCAGCGACCACACGGTGACAAGTGTATAAAAGGGGCCCTGTGGAGGGGCTGTGGGAGAATCTGGGAAGGCAGAGGAGGGCTGGGTATTTTTGTAAGGAGCGAGCACAGAGAGGCAGAGCTGGAAGAGGCAGGGTGAGGGCAAGGCCTGTGTGGCTCGCCAGCAGCGTGAAGGTGACTCTGAACCCAAGCGTCTGCCGCACGGATGGCAGGACTTGCACACACACTGCCCTGCTCAGGAGCCAAGGCAGCCTGGCTCTCCCTGTGTGTTCCCAGAGGAGACAGCGTTTAAGGAGAGCTCGTGGCTCATTGCATCTCAGACTGCAATGTGGACATGTGGGTATTATTACCAGAATTATGTTTGCTTAACAATAATCAACCTTGTTTCCTTGTCAGGGGATTTTATCCACTAAGCGCATGTTTGGGAGAATCATCTACATAGTGATGGCACAGTGGCTGCTTCAGCAGCACATATACAATGGAAGAAAAGCTTTCACAGGCAGACACAAAGGCACTTCAAGTGTTGGTGGACCAATTGGGTCCTGGCAAGATAGGTACAACAATTTGAAGCCAGCCTGGGCTACATAATGAGCTCTAGGCCAGTCTGAACTACATAGTCACAATGAAAGTCACTGTCTCAAAAAAACAAAAACAAAAACCAAAAAACCTCTTTGAAAAGTGGTATTTTGTGAGTTGGTAACTTGCTTTTTTTTTTTTTTTTTTTTTGTCTCTTTTGAGACAGGGTTTTGCTGTGTAGTTCAGGCTGGTCTTGAGCTCACTTTGTAGCCCAGGCTGGTTTTGAACTCGCACTGATCCTCCTGTCTCAGCCTCCCTAGTGCTGGGATTATAGGTGTGCGCCACCACGCCCAGTGTGGCAACTTGTTATGGTTTAGATCTAGAATGTCTCCCAGAATGACAGTACAGGCTGTGGTGGAGCTCCAGAGAAGTCTGCAGCAGGATTCCTGCTGACTGTGCTGACAGTTGGGGAGAGGACACTAACTGGCTGTGGGGTCCCAAAGCAATGGGAAGCTGGAGAGAAAAAGCTACAAAGAATGGCTTTCACCCCAGATAGCTCACTTGAGATGTTAGTAAGAATTGCCTCCTCAGTATTCTATAGCCATGATGAGGAGGAGGCCAAGGAGAGAAAACAAAGAGACTGAGAAAAAGCAGCTGCTTTTGCTGCACCACTAAGAGAAACAGATCCCAGGTCTGATTCCCGGGGCTCCAAGAAGAGCTCGACAACTGCATTCATCTGCTACCACTGTTAAAAGCCAGGCCACCTCAAGAGGAACTGCCCTAAGAGGCCCCATGGGCCATGCCCTGGATGCAAAGGAGACCACTGGAGATCGGTCTGCCCTCTGAGGTGGAGGCCCCAGAGCTCAGACCCATGCTACCAGTTACTCCAACAGGAATGAGAGGGCTTGGGGCATGGTCTGCCTTCTCCCTCTGGCCAGACTGTCATCTCCATCGAGGAGTCCTGGGTAATCATGACTATGGAGGAACAAGAAAATAGCCTGTTGCTAGACACAGGTGCAAGTCTCTCGGTCCTTCTTTTCAATCCTGGCCTTCCTTCCAGTCGTCATACCTCAGTGAAAGGAGTCACTGGTGAGGAGGTAATATGCTATTTTTGACAACCCTTAGGCTGTAACTCCTTAATAGGTCCCTCTTGCATATCTCTGTCTTCCTGAGAAACCACTCTGAAGATACCACCATGTATTACAGCAGCCATTGATATTTTCCTACTAATCTATCCATAACTGTGTAAAGTTTGTAATGTTCCTATCCTATTTCACAAATGGATGTCTGTTTATTATTATGTGTTTCCTACAACAACCATTGAGAATAGTCAATGATTTTTCAATAGGTCACTCATATATAGCTCTATTTATTTTCTTTAGAAGCCACTTTGAAGATACCAAAGTATAGTACAACAACTCTTGATGGTCTCCTACCTCTTTTGTCTGTGGCTCACTATTGTTTGTCTATTTGTTTTCCTGAGAAACTATTTTGTAGACAATAATACGTAAAACAATAACCATTGATAATTTCCTGCCATTTTGTCTGTAATTTGCTAAGTCTCCCCATTATTATGTTATCCTTCTTTTATTCTTTAAAATAAAAAAAAAAAAAGATAAAAAAAAAAATAGAATGTCTCCCAGAAGTCTCTTGTGCTCAGAGGTGGGGCTTCTGGAAGGTGGTTGGATCTGGAGTGCTCAGTACTCATCAGTGGACTGATCCTCGGATAAGCTCACAGCTAAACGTGCTGTTAGGAGGTGGAAGAGGTGGGTCACAGGAGGCCTGACCAGAAGGCCACATGGCTCTTTCCGTTACCTGCCTTTATCACTGCCTCCTGACTGCCATGAGGGGAGCGGCTTCCCTCTGCCATGCTGGTTCTGCTTTGGAGAGGGCCAGCTAGGGACTGAATCCCCAAACCATGGGCCAAATTAAACCTGCTTTTCAAGCTGCAGACACTGGTCCTTCGTCCCAGCAACAGGAAAGCTGACCAATACAGGGACCAAACTCTTTTGAGGCCTTGCTTAGGCAGGGAAGGGCTCTCCAGGCTTACTCAAGGCGGTTATCTGGCTTACGAGGCATAAGGAGGTCAATAATTAGAGATATAATCAGCATGTTCCTTCTTAAAAGCGTAAGTCAATAAAATTTTTTTCCTTCCTCTTCAGTGCTTGTGGGTAGCTTTCTTTTAAATGTGTTTGGGGCAAGTTTCATGCCAACCTGAGCATCCAGAGCCTTGGTGGGCTTTTCCTAACAATGATTTAGAATTGGTCTTTTCATTTTGCGCCATCAGCTATAAGTAGAACCCTAGTTTGGTAGGTGGCCTTGTGTCCTGGGCTCCTTAGCACCCCAAAGTCCTTTCCACCTGATTATTCTACTTATTCATCTGGACTCAGTTCAGAAATGAACGTTCAGGAGGGTGCCTCTGTCCTGTTCTCCCCACCTCCCCTCTCCACTCAGGCAGATGTCCTGCATCTCCGGCCCAGAGCACTGCTTTCTTGCCACGGAATACTGGCATCAGCCATCTCTCCACTAGCTTCAACTCCTAGTGAGCACAGCTTTCTTTCCTTTCCTTTTTTTTTTTTTTTGGTCGAGAGAGGGTCTTGCTTTTTTTGTTTTGCTTTGTTTTCTGGTACTGGGAATTGAACTCATGACCTCGCACTTGCCAGGCAAGCGCTGTGCCACTGAGCTAAATCCCCAGCCCCCAGAGTCTTGCTTTTGAGAGGGAGTTTAACCCAGGCTGGCCTTGAGCTCACGATTTTCCTGTCTCAGCCTTCCAAGTGCTGGGAGTGCAGGTGTGCGCCATCCTGCCTAGCGCTTAGTAAACATATTTGACACACCTTTCTTTTTCAGTTCCCCAAAGCACTCAAGGCACACAAAGCATGCTCCGTAAATGCTCTTGTTGAAAAGAACTGCCTGGATCCTGTATTCTGGTAGGCTAAAGACAGCTGGGGTTATAGCAGCGTAGAACTGTGTTCAGAAACTGCTACTCTGGGTCGGGTGTGGTGGCGGATGCCTGTAATGCCAGCACTTGGGAGGCTGAAGCAGGAGAATCCTTGCGAGTTCAAGACCAGCCTGGGCTACAAAGTGAGCTCAAGGTCAGCCTGAACTGCATAGCGAGACTCTGTCTCAAAAGACAAAAACAAAAAACAAAAAGCAAAAAAACACCAAAAAACAAAAACCAAAAAAAAAAACTGCTGCTCTGGTGGGAAACGACCTCTGCTGTGGCTTGGATACCCATCCCCCAAAAGCCCATGTGTCAAAGGCTGAGTCAGCAGCCTGTGGTGCTACTTGAGGATGCCTGAGCCTCTGCAGGCAGCGCCTTGTAGATGGGAGTCTGGCCTTTGGGTGCATGTTCTGCGAAGGGGCAGAAAACTGGTCTAACCCTTTCCTGCCTGTTTCCTGCAGCTGCCTCGAGGGGAACAGGCCTCCTCCACCACTCACTCCTGCCTTGATCTACTGTGTAGCCACAGGCCCAAAGCAACAGGGCCAAGCAACCATGAATGAAA